CGGCCCGCGGGCCGTAATTTGGTGATTCCTGACTTAGTGTATAGAATAGTTGTTTTTTCTATTTGTGGACTTTTTTCTCACTCATTGTTTCTGAAATTTGCATATAAAAATATGTGTTCTGGTTCTCATTGTTGTGGGGATAAATTTTCTAACAATGTTGAAGCTTATGGAAACATTATATATTAAGCCTTAAGCCTTAAGTTTTACCATTGACCACTGAGATGCGAAAGTAACGAGAGAACATCTTATATTTATAAACCTATCTCCTAAACCTTCCGTGTGACAAAGGCTAATCATGTTTTGAAAGTTAATAAACATAACAGTCAAGTCTAGTAAAACAATTTTTAAATCTTATTTTTTTACATTTTTATTATTTCAATGGAAACATTGCCACAATAATTCAATCAAAAGTTATATACTTTACTATATGTCCGTTTTTGTATTGTTTTTTTTTTTAGGTTTTTGTAGAATAGTCCCTTTATGATCACATTTACATCAAAAGTTGTGATGCGTGTTTATATATTTTTATGTCCATAACACACATATTTCTTTTTCCAGGGTTTTTAGAAAGTCTGAAAAAACTGACTCCTCTAAAATAGAATTAAACTCGTATGTATTAAAGAATTTATCAACAGGTACGTAAGATCCCTAAGCAAGCACTTAATATACAAAATATTGGATATATACTTCATATTTAAAAATTATTGTTGAAGACATGTAAGCAACTTCGAGTTTATGTTAGTTGATTAAGACTCATTAAAGCCTAAACTTATCTTCAACTGAGTCACACAACAAATCCATATGTCCGATAACTTCGGGGGCCTATTCCGTTTTCGAAGGAGACCCTTTCAATCAATACCATACCTACTTAGACTCGTTTTGAAGTCTCACATAAATAACATTTTAGCTGCATTTAAGTTTGGCAATAATCTAATCAATTTTGATTGACAGGTCTCGTAGGCAGCAGCTTATAACAAGGTGTATTGCAAATGATAATACACACTTTTCGTTTTATAAACATGTACTAAGCAGATTATGAAATATGTTTTATTCTACAAGTATGATACATTAAGTACTATATAATAATTTACCAACAGTGTCCCGAAAGAATATCCCTTTAGCTAGTAACTGACTTTTTAGCTGCAGCATAGCGGCTCATAGAACGGCTCTGAGTTTGTTTTTGTTTTTTCATGTAAAAACCTTCAGCTCATAGCTTCGTCATCTTTTGACGGAATTGAGATCTAATTACAGTTTTTGGACTCAGGAGGTCAAACCCTTTTGTTTGATGTATTTGACCATGCCTAAGATCTCAATGGTTAACTTACTCTAATCCTGCCTAAAACAAATTTAATTTGAGGGTAGGCTGGTAGAGATTCTGATGAGTTATAAAATTGAATGGGTGGGACGCGCGCTCCACGCTTTGTATTGCTGGCGCACAAAAATAAGGCTAATAAAAAGGAAACAAAAAAATGTCATATACATTAATTTACTCTAAACCTGTCTAAATGAATTTCAAGTGCCGAGGCTATTGAGAATTCCCTTTTGTTTCTGGCAATTTCTATTCGAATTTCATGGAAATAGGTTTAATAAGATGTATAAATATAAATAAATACCATTAGAAGCCTGTTGTCGGCATTAGGTCATGCATACCTTGTAAGATAAGTAGATATGAGACTGAGCTCTCATAGTATGAGCATTCGAGATATTTCAGCTAACTTTTTTTTTATTATTCCTAGTAAACTTCCAGGGGACCCTAAG